TCTCTTGTTGCCACATAATTTTGCGTAAATTTTAAAAGAAATCTTAAAGTGACAATATTAAAAAGATGCATGATAAAATAAGATTAAATTTCATTTCTTTTCTATTGTTTTCTATTACTTCAAGCTTTGAGACATTAGAGCATTTTTATTACAACATTTTTCCTTTAACAGAAGTTCGACACATATTAAAGTATACAATATATTAAGTGGAATAAGGTAAAGGTTCTTTCCCCTAAAGACACATAAAAAAATTTTGTTCTAACCGAGTAATTAAATTCATTAAGATTAATTTTCCTGCAAATTCAATTTTCTTTTTTGAAATGTTAAGTTAATGAGTTTAAACTAATTTCAAAATTTTTGAAATTGTGCTAATAACTCTTATACATATTTATCAATGGTACAATTTTTTATGAAAAACCATGTATGGAAAAAAAAACACAAAATTAATCCAGAACTTACTGCAATGGGAAAATTTTCCAAATTTCATAAAAGCTACACTTTGGAAACAATGAAAAGAAAAGGAACAAATTTGTGGCCCAATATTTGTATACTTATATATAATGTATATAACAAAAAGTTTTTCATTTCGCAACACACATAAATTCATTTGTTACTTACAATTTAACATTACAAAATGACCGTTATTATAATTTACTGTTATCTATAAAGACCCATTTTTCCAAATTTTTTTCAAAGTTTCAAATTTCAGCAGCTCTTAGATACTAATAAATAGTTACTTTCGCAAAAAGAATTTTTTTTCCACCACCATCCCTCCCCAAGTTATCGTCTCTCGAAATTTCTGAAATTTTAATTTTTGGCACATTTTATTTCCGAAACTGCAAGCTTTTAGAAATTTCTATAAATTCAGGATGCTAACGGTAAGTTCCATGGCATTAAAAAAATATAACTATTTTTCTTAATTCACGTAACTTACCCTTAAATTCTAGTACATATTATGTTAACGCCTCTTTAAATTTTTTTTTTGTTTTATTTTTAAGATTGCACACAAAGCTCATCCTAATTGGCATGCAATTTTTGAAATATACGAATGAAGGTAATTTTAATAATGTAGTTCTATATCTAAATTGTTTTTAAAAGCACTATTTCTACTTGGTCAAGGGAAAAGTTCTATATTACAAACCATTGGTTTGACCCAACTTTATTTATAATGAAGACGTGTTATCTGTTGCCCAGAAGACTGAAAATATAAAATTTATAAAGTCATAGTAAAAATTTGTTGATTCAAATTGAGCAGCAGAGAAAATTTCCAGCAGCTTTATTTCAAGAAAACGACGGATAATAAATTACCGTAAAATATACCTATGTAGTATTAAAATTAGAATATAAAATTTAACAACAGAAACCATTGTAAAACTCCCACTTGAATCCTTAAAGAAAAGAACTTTAATTTATAGTATTTATAGCTTCTAATCCTGTACTCCTATCCAGCAAATCCTATTATACAGATTTTCCATCTACAAGCAGTTGCCAACTATACAACTTTCATTCCAGCAAATGAAACGATAACCCTGAACGAATTATTTTTGTACTTAAGCGTTAAGTATTTAAGCTAACCGTATAAAACCTTAAATTCAAACATGTTCTTTATGGGAGATGAACTAAATAAAATTTATTATTCAAGAATGAAGAAAAATTTTTTTCTGTTTAAAATTTACTACAAAAATGCAAGTACACACGTTTATTAAGAATATGAAAATAATTGACTGCACTTGCATTCAATACCTTCAATAAAAAAAAAGGGAATAATTTCTGATTGAATCGAATGAAAAATCGTTTAAAATTATTTTCCACTTTTTTTTTGCTAAATATTCATTTTATCTATTATAAATTTTAATATTTAAAATTGTTGAAATCATAGTTGCATTCAACTGCAATTTGTTATCTATGAATTATGTGAAGATTATTATTTCTTCATTTAAGTCTTGGAATTTTCTCGTTCTTTTGATTTTTTAGCTCTACTTAATGCATTTTTTCCTCATGGCACTTCTTCCTTATTCAAAAATTAACGACGGCTGCAACTTGCATTAAAGCATCCTTACTATTCCGTAAGCAAAAGAGAAAAGAAAAACTTATTTGAAAAATCATAGAAAAAAATTACTCTTAAATTACGATGAGCAGCACAAGATGAAAAATTTTTTAATATATTATTTAGTTGAGAAAAATATGAAAGATTCATAAATTAAAGGAAAAAAAATTGATGTGGTCATTATATGACTCATCGCGATATTGGTTCCTGAAACAATATCTTAATTGAGTTACTCTTATTAAATTAGCTAAGTGAAATTATCATTTAAATTCCTTTTTCAAATTCAATTAAACTTTTCGCAAAAGTTTATTATTTAGTACATGACATACTTCAAAAAATGATCAATCCGTCATACTCGTATGCCAAAATAAAATCACAAATATAAATTTTCATTAAAATCGGTTCAATTAAGGTTGAGATAAGGTTGAAAATGCATAGATCAACATACTTCTAAAAACAAGTGGTTTATTTTTCTGTTAAAGGCATTTCTGTTGAAAATTTGACATGAGAAGTTTGGTGCGATCACATACCACACTTAATGTATACAATGCACAGTTCAAAAAAAGAAATAAAAAAATATGAAATGCGTATTACAACGAATGAATTTCCAAGATCCTACAATTTCAATTTTAAAATATTTATATATGAATGGCGCTATTTAAATAGAAATATGGAACGATATTTTATCTATGGGAAATATAAAAATTAAGTCGTAACCGTTGTAAGAAATTTTAAAAATGATTTACATTTGAAATGCAAAGATAAAAGAAGGAAGGCGAAGAACTAAAAAAGCATAAAGATGAGAAAGTTCAATTAGATTTTTTTTGATGATAAAATTTCTTTAAAAAAAACATTTAAGGAATTCAAATTTTTTTTTTTTACAATTACATTTAAAGTACTTAAATTGCAATTAAATCTAATTTAATTTCATTTTTCCAAATTTAAGGGTTTTTTCTTAATAAATTATTTTTTTTAAAGGTAAGTCAAACGGATGAAATTCAAAAATATTTGCTTAGATGGCAATGTAAAAGAACCCGTCTGTTTTTCAAAGTTTTTAAAAAATCCTATAAGAACTCGCATTTTACTAAATTGCGGAATTAAGTACAAAATAATTGCAAAAAAAAATATTTGTATGATTAAAATAATAAATTTGTGTGATTTCAAGTGAAAATCTGTGATAATTAAATTTCATACGGGAACGGGAATTTGAAGAATTTTAATTAAAACCTTTTTAACTATAAATGCAAAGACACATTGTAAAATTAATTCAAACTTTTGCTGGAATAGGTTAATCAGCCGTTTATAACAACATTTTAAATAAAATATCAAATATTTCTTCATACAGTCACCATTACCTTTTAGGTGATCCATTAAAAGTTCCAATTTCAAACAATTTTTATATTGTAACACGAAATTAGTTTTTCAACATTACGCTTTCTTATTTTTTTTTCCTCCTTTTTCACTCCTAGTAGAAGCATAGGGCTAGTGAATGATGTCATTCCAGTTTCATTGCGTCATAGAGTTTTAACTAGGTGACTAGCCTACCGTAGTTTTTGTATTAAATATTTAAAATTATTGAAAAATTTACTGCTTTTATTTTTCTTGGTTTTAATAGCGGGTATTATGAATATATGAAAATTACTAATTTGTTATTTTTAAAAATATTGTGTTATTAGTTCTATAAATATTGAATATAATTTTTAACTTTTTTTTATAGAGACCTGACCGGGGTTTGAACCCGAGACCATTCGGTTAAAGGACCGGTGCCATAACCACTGTACCTTTCTTATTAATTTTTGTTAAATGTTAATAATGTTGAAATAAAAACCAAAACTGTCATTTTATCGTTCGCAAATATTTGTTACATTCACGCGTGAAGTATGCCAAAGAACACAGAAATAAATGAAAATTATTCTTAACGTTTTATAATTATAATTTCACACTTATTTCGATTGCTACTAAGTTCGATTCTACGGGATCGTATTAATATTAAATTTAAAGCTTTATGCTATAGAATAGTATAGAAACAAAATATACTATTACACTAGTGATATTTTTTAAAGTCATCAATTCTTATTTCACCTTGCAACTCACATTATGTGATTTATCAATTTAAAAATGTTTATGTGTATTTACATATAACTTTTGTTTCGATTAAGTAAAATTTTCAAATTTATTCTAATCTAGCGAAAAATTTGGCTGATTGCAAAAGCAAAACAACTTCAACTCTGGTTCTCAATTTCATTTTTCAATTCAAGTTCTTCACCTCAATCAACTTATTTACTCTTTGTGCTACAAAAAAATGCTTAAAATTTACAATATTTCATGCATCAGTAATTTTTATATGTAAAATATAAAAGCATTGCATTAACCAACAATTCACATAAAAAAAATTCAATTTATTTTTGTAATCCTTTAATTAGATAAAAGCCTAAATTTTAATTGAGCTGATAAAATTTTAATTTTTCCTTCATTTTATTGAGAAAAAATTTCAATAGCTTTTCATTTTTTTAATTTTTTTTCAAACCTATATGAACTTTAATTATTTTAATTTTATAATTTTCAAAATCCAATTAAATTTGCTTGCATAATAAATTTTTTTTTACAAATACAATGACTGTTAAATATATTTTACATGAATGATTGATGATTTTTAATTAAATAAATTTATTATCAAAACGAAACTTATATTTATACACACACACATATAAATATTTAATAAATGAACAAAAAGAACAAGAATAATAATATGCAAACATAATAATATCATATGTGATTAAACACATATACATATATAATATGCATGTATATGTTTAATAAATGAATATTCGTCCATAATTTTTATGATAAAAAAAAAATGATGATTTCCATTATATAATTTTTAAATTTGAACAAAAAGCAACGAAAAAAGTAGAAATTTTTTTTTTTTAAATCGGAATTAGAATTCAATTACCTGTGGACTATCTAAACGATCTAATGATTGCCTTCTTGATGAATATTCATCTGGTGGTAAGATTTGTTGATGTTGTTGTTGTTGCTGTTGCTGCTGTTGACACTGTTGTGATGTACATATTCCACCTAATCCAATAACACTACTACCACCACCAATACCACTGATATTAATACCATTACCACCTATTCCACTATTATTATTACCAGTATTACCATTGCGTTCAGACATTCCAGTTCCATTATTTCCGATTCCGCCGCCGCCGCCACCTCCATTTCCCCCCGGTGTTAATGGTGGTGGTGGAGGTGTTATTGATTGACATGGACTATCTGGACATGGGCTATGACATGGACTACTGCATCGACTACGACATGTGGGACTGTAACAAGTATTGGCCGATGCTGATGCTGCAGGTAATGGCGGTTCCGCTTGTGGTACTGCATTAACTGGTGGCAATGTACAAGCTGTTTGCCGTCGTGGTGAACGACCACGATCAACTGTTGTTGCACTCCAATACCCCCAAGCCATTTTGTATATTTATTATTTGCTGTTTTTGCTCACACTTTTTTTATACAGTATTAATTTTTTTATTACTTTATTGATTTGCTCAAATTTTATAAATTTAATATTTTATAATTAGTATGTATGTTGTTTGTTGCAGGAGTTAAATAATTTATTTTTGGATTAGTATTCAATTTTATTTTTAATTAATTTCGGGCATAAGGCTTGAAATTATTTTTTTTATTATAATTTAATATTAATGAGATTTTTTTAATAGTTTAATTTTACTTTAATTAATATTGTAGGTTTTTCTATTTTTAGTTATTTGTTTTAATTATATTTCAGTGATTAACACCTGTAGATAAATAAATAAAAATTAATTTGAAATTTCATTCAAAATTTCAATATGCTTGAATTTGATTTGTATTGAGAGTAAATCATATTCTATCAGGTTTAGATTTGTTAAATTTATTTAATAAAATCAAAACAGTAACGGAATTAAAAAAATTTTTTGGCTAAAATTTACTAATTCTATTGAATTTTTTTATTACTCGTACATAACGGAGCTTAAATACTAATAGCCAATTGGACTCCGGTATTAACATGCTATTACATATAAAAATATTAGTTTATAAACTCAAAGAACATCAATATTTTTTGCGAAGAACCGATTTTAGTGCATAAAGTTAACACTTTTCATGCTACAGGTTAGTCAAAACATTCATATGTTGATAATGGTGGGTAAAGTTAGCCTGAACTAGAAAAAAAACCGAGAATCAGACAAAAAAGTAAAATGTTTGAAAAAAATAGAGTCCAGAAAAAATTCAGTTAGAGCTCACGAAAAAATTATTCGTACATTACTAAATCACAACACAAATCGTACTAAAATCACAACAAAACATACACAGACACAAGTCTAATAAAACATAATTTGTTAAAAAAAATTAAATTCAAAAAATAATCTGAATAAAAAACTTATGTAAACTTCTGAATATTTCGGACACATAGAAATTTCCTTTTTTGGTAAAATTAATCCGTCAAAGAATTAAAAGTGTCGCTTAACAATGAACTAAAAAGAAAACGGTTCAAAGAATCATTCAAAAATTTCAACTAAAATTAAGTAAATACTTTGGTTTGGCACAGTGTTTTTCAAAACTAAAAAATAACAATTTTATTTTACAATTTTCTTAAAAATTCGTTAATATCTATAGATCTCATCACAAATCCACTTTAATTTTTTTATTAAATGACTGTTTAAAAAACCTTGTAGCAACTGAAACTTGAATAAAATAAAAAAAATTTCTTCCATAAAAGTCAAAAACCAGAAAAGAAAATTATAAAAAAAAAAACAATCAAAATATTAAAGAAAGCAAAAATGCATTGCAATCTCATATATATTTTTTTTAAATAGAGCAGAAAACTAAAAGAAAATTAAAAGAGAAAAACAAAATATTTTCAATGCACGATTTTAGGGAAAAAAATAAAAAACTAATATTTCAAAAACATCCACCCACTTCTCAACATTCAATCTCCTCGCTTCCATTTCCCCTAAACACCATTACGCGTTCAGTTCTCCCTCATGTTGCTACACAAACACAAAACAAAAACATTTACAAACCCTCAACCATATTTTTTCACATAAGTAAGTCACATTTCTTTGGGAGCAAAAATAAATACAAAAAAAATGAACGACCCTAAAGAAAAGCCCTTATATTAATACAACAAAAAAATAAACTAAATACAAGAGAAACAAATAACAGGCTCACAAAAAACCGCAGTTGAATCGTTATACTTTAGGATTTTGAAAGATGGTACTTTCTAAAATTTGAAATTATTTAAAAATCCGAAAACGGCAATGAAACTTAATATCTTTATTTTATGATATAAACAGCAATTGACAAGAAAGTGGATCTAATCATAGTGGCATTTTAAATAAATCATACATAATTTTAGACGAGGTCGAGATAAAAAAGAGAGATGATTAGGTATAATGTATTGAGTGGGAAAATTACAAAACATTCTAGCATTCTTTCAGGCCATAGCAATGCAATTCTTTGGATAGAAACCAGATCGCTAAATAATTTCCTCCTAGGTTCTTAATTCTGAAAAAGAAAGGAACCTCAAACTGAAAGCATATCTTTGCATAAGCTTTAGCCCGACAAGTTTCAAACCACGAAAAATTCTTCGAGAAAGCTCTAAATATAACAATTTTAGCCACATATATCGTAAACGAAGCCGCTTGAGACTTCTCTTTTGCTCGGGAACATGTGATCCTATAATATGTTCTTTTAACGATCTTCGTTTGAACTGTTCGTTCATTCAGGAATGAATGTACTATATTCCTCTCCATTGTATCATATTCTCTTTTCCATCTTATTATTTATTTGACCTTTTCTGTCCAATGAATGGAAATGTGATGTGAAATTCACCGTGAACAAGGCAAACAACAATAAATTTGGTATTGTTTTACGATTTTTTCATTATAGAAAAAAATTGGTTTCATAAAATTTCATTTACGCAAAAACAGACGCACAAATGGTAGATTTTCATGTATTTTTGCTTGACAACCAAATTAACAATTTATATTTTATCTTACAAACGAACAAAAGAAGTCCATAATATTATTTAAAAAAAAAAAAGTCATACAAAAATAAAAATTAAAAGTGTAGAGAAAAGTTTTCATACTGCAGAAAAAATATGCATTAGCTGTGCAACATTCGAACAAACTAACATACAAGCCACCCACCCTCACGTTGTATACGTTATCCAAAATAACAGAATGCGCTTCTTTTCCAAAATAGGCTAAGAGAAAACCTTAAGGGCAAGGACTTTTTTTATTATTTTTATATGATAAATTATTGTATTGTCGTCATCATTCCACGTGTTTGTACAAATTTATGAATTTGTGCACATACGTACATACATATATAAATATTATGATATTATTTTTGTCTGAAAAAGAAAAACGTTCTACATTGTTGACGATGTCGCGCGTTTATCGTTACAATTTTTATGGAACATTCTTCAATGGTGTGGTATATATATATATATGTATTTATACATATATATATATTTTTTTAAAGCATATGTACAAACACATACATACAAACACTTCTCTTTCCACTTTTGTCTATTTTTGTTTGATATAAAATTTTTATTTCTGTTTTTGTTTTTTTCTTTTGATTTTGTGTTGCAGCATAGTTTTACATATTATAGCAAACTCGAGCTTTTTCCTTAGAAATTCTTTTTGTTCAAAAATATTAAAAATATAAACATCACATTTTTTTATTCTCTTCTTATTTTTATTTTCTTTTTTGTTGCTCCTCTCTTTTAAATGGTGTTTTTGAATATCCTTGCTTGTGTAATACACTTTATGTGTACATAAAAAAAATTAAATATTAAAATGAAATAAAAAGGAAAAACTGAAAATTTCGTTTTTTGTCGCAATTGATGCTTTAAAATTAATAAACAAACTTGAAGAAATAAAGCACTTTTTAGTGCACATTCAGAATTGTAGTTTAAAAACCAGTTTACAAAAAGCATAACTACGAAAGCCTTATACTTACATAATATACATAAAATTATGTAACCCAAATAACATTCTGGAAGCGTACCCAATTTAAAAGACTAAAATTTTTGGAATTCAAGAAAATTTTATTCGTCAACTCCTTACTCCTATAATATAGGAATACCTTGCAGTAGTACACGTATATGCATATAATCGAAAATATTCATATAACTAAAAATTTTAAATTCTAGACTTTCGTCACTCTAGACTGCACTGATATGATAAAATATATTGAGGATTTTATAAACATAAATGCAGGTAAATGTGACCTGTGCAAGTGTAAGTTTTAAGAGTTTATTTCATTTTTAAAAATTTCTATTTAAAAAAAATCAGTACTATTTGTGTGGATTTATTTACGGGTAAACAAATATCTCTATTTTTATAACTGCGTATGTAATATGTGGTGGTACATCCAGTTTGTCATGACGTATGTAAAACCCAAAACGAAGCATTTTGTTTTCGGGTTCAATTTCTGGAGAGAATAATCTTCGAGTGCGCCCGGCAATCAGAACTTAGTCCTTGTGCCAATAAATGAAGAACATTGGAAAGATTCAAATCTTTCGTAGTTTTTTTTTCTAATTTTTATTAAAAAAAAATTTACTTTTTTTCCTTTTTAGCAAATTTTATTCTTATTCTTAAGTTTCGACAAATTTTTATCTAGCCAAAATTTTTTTAAAATTGTCTTACATATTTATTTCAAGAAAATAATTTTAAGGAGTAAAAGTAATATTTATAAATACATAGATAGGTTTAAGTTGCTCCGAAGTATGTTTTTCACTTTCATTAAAATCGATAATTTCAAGAATTTTTAAGTTTTATATAATAAACTAGAAAAATGTTTTGCTTTTTCTATTCTAGGAATTGAGTTTTGTAAAATAATTTAAATACGAATACTTAATTGATGATTTTGCACATTGAATCTTAAGGTTTAATTTTATTTAAAACCTATACTTCCATTTTATTAAAAGTTTGCCTTGTGCATAATGTAAAATTGTGTCACATTTTCCCCAAGTGGTCGATTTTTCATAATAAAATTTATTATACTCATTAACTTCATTAAAATAAATTAATTTTAAAATAATAAAGTGCTAAGTTACGAGTATCTATACAAAATATCTAACTAGGTACCTTAAATGAGTAACAAACAAAAAAATTTATGTTAGACAAGTTACTATTGCCCTTATATACGAATATTAAAACCTTAAAAAAATCAAATTTCTTCTAAAAATTCACTGCATACCTAGAATCAACTGATCATCAAAAATTAATGAAAACATATAGTAAAAATAAATATCTTTTAATTAGATACACACGCATACATAAATATATTCATATACATATTTCTATATTTATTCTACTTTCTCTTTCTATCCTCCGTTTATACCATTATATTATTACCTTTATTATCAACCATTTTAAATAAAGAAAGAAAAAAACAAGATGCAAGAAAAAAATTTAGTAATTACGGAAAATATATTTTTCTCATTACCAAAGGAATAATTTATTTACGAGAAAAAAAAAGCATAAAATAAAACAGTAATAAATTTAAATAAAATATTCCCCCTTATTTAACAGCATAAGTAAATTATCTAGAGACTTATTATTTTTATTATTCTTCAAAAAATTACAGAAATTCTACATACAACTTTTATTCATTTTGCATATGCCTGCAACATTACTCGTAAGTTAAGGATCGGTTTCAATAGTTACATTTACGAGTATTATTATATATTATATAAATAAGCTTTTTAGTACAATTTCAACAAAATATGCAAAACAGCTTCACT